ATATACTATATATATATACATATATATACATATATATATATATACCATATATACACACATATATATATATATATATATATATTTATAACATATATATACACACATATATATATATATATAAATATATATGTATATATATGTATATATGGTGTTTTAAACCCTTCCTACACTCTTGCAACATTCTAAACAATGTATCTAAACTCTAAACACTCTAAAAAAGCACAGAATTTCATGATTTCAGCTCTCTGGCTGCTCTCTGCCACCTGCCAGTGCTCTCGGCCATGCCCACTTCACTGCACAGCAGAGATCAGCTGATCAGCTGCAGGAGGAAGCTTCTACTGCAGCTGTGGGCTGCACACAGGTGCTAAATAATTTTAAACAATTTAGTTTAAATAAAAATTCCATATTGATCGTGCGGCTCATCCATTAATCAGCCAATTGTGTGTCATGTCCAATCTTATTTTGAAAAACTGCGATAGAGTGAGTCCGCGAATAACAAACCGCAAAGTAGCGAGGGACTACTGTATTACGGTTACAAAAATCAATTGACAGCATTCTGAGCCTTCTGTGTTTCTAATCAACTTGATCAATGAACTACTTCCATGTGGGATGGTTTCTGTCTCAGTATATTGTGGTAGTTATCTCCAGTCTGTGGTGTTTGACCTTGATTTCCCCCATCGGTTAGTTGTGCTTCTTCATCTAATACCCAGCTGTGTCCACCCACCTCCGAAACAATAACATGTTTACTCCTCTGCTCCTCAAACAGCTCAATACAATTAATTTTGACAGACAGCTCCTCAATCTCTTAAATCAATTATTATGACTCATTTAATTAGGGCCCATTTCTGCCCTGCTCCTTTGTAATCAAATGAATAATTCACTGCTCGATCATTTGCCACCGACACTAATCCACTTAAATCACCTTCCACTACTGCCAGACACTTGGTATTAAATTGAGTATAATGTTGAAATGCAAAGTACAACTGTGTATGACCGAATAATCATTAAACAAAATGTATTCAGGGTGACAGAATGAGTTTTCTGCACCAGATGTTTGAGGGTGCTTTGCCACCTGGGCATCAAATAGTGATGAAACCAATAAAATTAGAAGTCTTGTTCAAAAATAGCAACATATGATGTCACTCTTGCATCGCTGTCATGTCCTGTCAATCTCTTTCATTTTCAAAGGATCAAATTTGGTTCATTACATTAGCATAATTATTTTAAAAGACTTATTTTTATCACTTTGTTAAAATTCTTTTTAAAACACCAAAACCTGAAAGCGACAGATATCAACCAAGGAAAGGAGTTTCCTCTATGACACCTTTTCACCCCCTCACCCATCTTTAGTTATCTCATCGTGAGTCTTTCTGCATTAAACGTTTCCTTTAACAAGTTAAACACCCTTTTAAATTGAAACCAAATATATTATGTATAAAACAAGTAGAAAAAAGTCACACACTAATATTTAGTTTTACAGTTTTCAGTTTATTGGTCCATCTTCAGCCCAGCCATCCACTACTGCAGGTCGATCTGGGTCATGACTGAAAGAATAAGATAAATGGATGCAAGTGTGTGAAATGTGGGTTCGTTTGGGTGACGTCTGGGCGTAGCCCTAATCAAGAATCTCCCCCGGAGGCGACAGTTGTCAACAAATCACAAATAAATAAATAATTAAATTAATTAATTAATTATCTAAAAATCATCAGTCATCACTTATCAACTACAGTGCCCATAAAAAGTGTTCAGTTCTCTTGGATTCACCCCCTTTGAGTATTTACCACCTTTCATAAATTGGTCATGGTCAATATAAATTCACATTTTTGACAAAAAACAACAACTTTAATAACAGTGAAATTAGATTGCGATAAATGCGTAATGTGAAATAAAGTGATTGCATGAACATTCACCTCTTTCAAAGTGCCTGTCCTAATTCAACTCAGAGAAAAGTACAAGTCAGGGGATGGATACATAGGATTTCCAAGGTCCTAAACATCACCAGGTTTGCTAATCCATCATCAAGAATTCAAAGGGAAATGGGACCTGTGTAAACCTGCCAAGAATAGGCCGTCCTCACAAAGTGATAAACCATCTACGAAGGAGAATAGTGCCGCCAAGACACATGTGATCACTCTGAAGTAGAAACAAACAGCAACTGAGAAGGGAGAGACTGTGTATACAGAAACTGTGGCCGGGAGTAACAAGCCAAACTAACCCTAGACCAGATTAAACCTGAGTATAGTTTGACTCAGGCTAAAATAAATTCCTTTATTGGGGAATAAAGTGTTCTAGGCCAAACTGTACCTGGGGTTGTAAAATAGGCCAGACTATACGCCTCAAGGCCAGAATGAATGAATGAACTAACCAACCAAACCACTCACCCATCCATCTCTCTCGCTCTCTCTATATCCATCCATCCATCCATCCATCCATCCATCCATCCATCCATCCATCCATCTATCCATCCCTCTCTCTCTCTCTCTCTCTCTCTCTCTCTCTCTCTCTCTCTCTCTC